AATGTTACTGCACAAATAGCCATTATCACAATACATCACTTTTGCAGAAGCACCAAACATTTGATCAAGAATAACTGCCACAGTTCTACAATCAAAATCACGCCCGTCTTTTTCCTTTTTCCTTTTTTCTTTTTCTTTGTTTCTTTTATCTCTATCTTTTTCTTTTAACTCTAAAGATTAAAGAGATTGACGAGAGAGGGTGGTAGCTTAGGCCTAAGCTTTAATGTATATGCTATTTAGTTACAATAGAATGTTATAAGATAACAAATATAGAAACAAAGCAAAGAATATCATTACAGTTGAAAGTGGCTACTGCAAGTTGACATTTGAGGAGTGGTTCAACGGCCGATCCAAGAGGGACTGTGAAAGGGCAGTAGTTTTGGATATGAGGGAACTTTTTGATCACCTAACAACACAAAGATATTTATCAGTTTATAATAACGTCTAAGAAGATTTCACCTCTACGATTTGTTTAAAAATGTTAGTGGTTCCTGAGTACATTTTCGGGAAGCGGGCCACGGTCTTTTTCCAGCTTAATCTTCACGTCGTAACCTGTTGATAAGAAAATCAATCAGCATAATTTATCTCAACACAGTTACGGTCTACCGATTACAATCATACCTTCGACTACACCATCTTTAACACGCAGTGTAGCCATTTTACTGCCAAACAGATAGCACGAACCGCTTCCAACTTCCACATTCCACGCTATCACATATCTGCTCACCCAAAAAGCTCTCGCGTACAACAAGCTATCTTCCAACTATTCACAGTTTAAGACAAAAAGAAATGTCCGTCGATCAGCACATAGCCAATCGCAACGATGTAGCATAGCAATTCAAGTAGTTCAAGACCTTGGAGATCAATTCATTTTCCGTAAATTACTATTCGATTTGTAATTTTCCCTCTAAACGAAGTAATTCAAGAGAACTCGTTTGTGATCCAAATTATAATAACCTCAACCAAACTAAATTTCCTTTCTCCCTTCGTTGCTATCGGAACTGAAGACGGTCCTATTCCCACATTACGACAGAGGCTACCACAGACCAACAGAACTAACCTCCACTACCAAATCATGACAAGTTAAAAACGAAAATAGAACCTGAGAAGCTGAAGTGGATTCCTCGACCGACATTGATGCGGAAGAGGAGCAGTAAAGTGGTCCGCAGCGAGAGTGACCATCGGGATAATGAGACAGAGAAGTTGCAGCTACGGAGAAGATGCCGCCGGCCAGAGGAGATGACGGAACCGCGGCGATACGGGGAGGAAGGTTGTGACGGAAGGAAGTTGCAGGATTTGATGGCGGTAAGAGATGGAGGGAAGAGGAAAACAGAAACGACATTTTCTTTTTCACTGAGTTTCTAACTCGCACAGTTGCAAGGTGAAATTGAGCTTTTATTGGATATTTCCCTCCTGAAACGTCACGTCGTAACTATTTTTATTTTATGGGAAATTATTTTTATTTTATTTTATTTTTTAAAATCTATAAATTAGAGATGTTCAGATCCGAAATAAATGGAAAGTCTAGTTTAAACAGAGAATTAAAACGAGCAGATTTCCTTAAATAAACAAAGTTATATATATATTAAAGTACTATTATAATTATTTTTATTAAAGAAAAATATGAAATTTC